CTGCTGAACAGGTCAGCCCCCCGCGTTAGTTGTTTTGTTATCTGCTAGATTCCTACGTCGTCTGTTGTTATGGTTGCCAAGTAGAGAAGAATTTATGCATCCATTATCTTTCAATTAGTCAATCTAGTATTTCATGGGGGGAGGAGGCGGAAGATAGTAAAGGAATTTTTTCCAATTACGTCAGAGATTAGGAGAGAGCAGAGGGTAGAAGGGAGAAAAATAGTTAGAAAGGAGATGAGCTTGAAAAGAGAATGAAGGGAGAGGAGGGGGCATGAGCTAAGATTCTGTTTTTTAAATATTCATTATCTTCAATAATCTGACGACACCTCTATTTAAGTGGCATGTTTTGAAGGTCCTTCTTTAAAGCTCATCAAGAGGAGTTCTTAAAGGAGCTTATCTTAAGAAACTATCTCGGGATCCTCTTAGCATATTTTTGTCCTCTATCTTAACTTGTTCATTGAGAGCTTATTCTTTCAACCAAGATGTCCTGAGTTCAAAGTTTTATTTATGTGGTGTGCATATATTTGTGACTAAATTTATTCAAATTCTCAAAAAAAAAAAAAAAAAAAACAAAAAGAATCCTAGTAGCATTTATGCTAAAATTATGCAAAAGTTGCTGTTTCTTGTTATCTGTAAACGAATAATCAATGTGGCGTTCTGTTGCTCTTATGTAAGAGTGATCCCATAAACTAACTTTTAATGCTACAACATGGTGCTCTTACCTTTGCTTATAAAAAATCCCAGATTTGTCACTTGTTTGTACGGGGAAGGACATTGAGTCACCTCAGCCTCATTAATGTGTTGATGCATCTGAACGCCATCATCATTGTAGCCTATCTGATGTAATTATGTAAAACTTTTATTTATTCTTTCTAATGCAACATCTTTTTATTGTAACTTTGTCTTCCATTCGCATATTCGCTTGACACGTTGTAATTTAATTTTTAACGTTGTGGATCTTTGCTCTTGTTTGCTTTGACAATGGACTCAAGTCCGTGGACTGAACCACTATAATTTTTTGCCTTTATCTTCGAGGCTATTTTCTTTTTTTGGCCTCATCATAGGGTAAACGTAATATAATACTTTTGCTCCTCTTACTGAAAAGCCTTAGAAAGAGAGGAAAACGATAAAAGGGTTTCTTTTGATGAACAGGTATGGGAAGGGAGATTTTAGAAGAGGGTGCGTTTGCCTCCAACAGAGTGAGAGATCATAGAGGTCTAAGTGTCTCTGTTTGACCAAAAGTGCTTGGGTAGGTCCAATGCACGGAATCAACCAACTAGTTAATGCACAAGCAACCCGACCAAGGGACCGGATTGGGGCAGTTCACTCTTGAAGCCAAATAATAAGAAGTGGTTAAAGCCATTTAGTCGACCCATCCAAGAAACATGCCCGGTAGTGTCGGTTTGACGAAGTCAATACCACGCCCCCTGGCCTGATTGAACGAACTTGCCTGCTCGCCACAACTACGATCGTGCTGATAGAGGCATTATCGTGGATAATTTGCCTAAAGCACTATCATAGTTAATGTATTCTTGGAGGAGGGTGATATCAGAGGAGTATTATAAGCGACAATAAAGATAGATAGTATTATCTTTTGGGATAGATAGTATTATCTTTTGGGATCCGTGTGTAATAATTATATTTTTTGTAATGTTATAACATATAAACCAACCTACTTTTAAATAATGTTAGTCATTACATTAGTGAAACTCTACTTTCAATAATGTAGATGTAAGATGACCTTCATTAATTCACTCATATATTGATGAGCACTTATTTTTTGAGCAAAGGCAAATGAAGAAATCATGATCGATAAATTTGATTGTTGAGATACTCACTATTGGAAGATGCAAATTGATGATTACCAAGCAATGGGATTCAGGCAAAACTCTTATATTATCAAGCAAGGCATTCAAGATGCATTAATTGTCATTGCGGCCATTTCAATGGAATCATGAGTTCTGGATTGCAACCCTTGTGCCCTTCTTCTCTCACCAGGAGTAAATATCAAATTACAATATAGGAAATTGTGAGGGGCTTTTTGTTAATGATGAACACCTCAAAATTTGTACCCATCTATAATGAGATACTTGAAATTACAAACATGGCCTCCTAGGAATTGCATGAAGCCACACATTGCTAACCTGAGAAGAAAATCATTCAGGGAGTGTGAAACTCTACTTTCATTGTTGAAACATAAAAACTGGACAAAGGAACAATGATATTATTACATGGTGCCAAGTCTGGCACACTTTACTCAACTACAGTCACATAACAATATAAAGCTGATACGAGTTCGATTTAGTTTCAACACTTTACTCAACTGCAATGTCAATTTAGTTTCTTAAATATTGGATTTGAACTTTGAACTCGAAATTGGAGTTGGTACATAACAACATACTTTATTAATTGAGGATCATTTGTTCATGTTAAATTTGGACTTTTTGAGAATTCTGGATGATAAATGATGCATTACACCTAATGTTGTCAAAACGGCTCATTGCTCGTTAATAGTTCATGTTTGGCTCGTTAAGAATTGTATTTGATTCGCTCGCTAAGTTAGCAAGCCAAACACGAATATTTTTTTTTTTTGCTTTCGATATATAAACGAGTTGAACACGAATAAAGATTTGTTCTGTTTGTGTTTTACTCATTTTGATTCTAATTAATTAAAGTATATTTATATATAATTGATGAATGATTTTTTTTAAGAAACTAATTGACTATAAGGTTACAAAGATTTATACTCAATTAAAATTATTAATATTAATTAAAAAAATAAAAATAAAAATATATTAAAGTATATTTAAATGATGTTTTAATATAAATAATAAAATTTATATCTCGCATCAAACCCCTTAGCATCCACGACAATGTAATTAGGGTTGTCCAAACAACTCTGTTAGCAAACATCAAGTGTATGGCTCGCCAAGAAAACAAGACGAACATAAACATTTTTTTTTTTTTTTGAAGTATAAATGAGTTGAACACGAACAATGGTATTTTTAAATGAGTTGTACATGAGTGGAGCCTGAGCTTGCTCGTGTTCTGCTCGTTTACACCCCTAATTACACCTTAGGTTTGGAAGGCAATAAATTGAGATATAATAATGGGACCAACTTCAACTCTTATAATAATCTTCTAAAGTTAAGTTCAAGTAAATTTATTTCATACTTAAGTAATTGATATGTAAATACAAAAGAATTGTGTGGTATCTATGCAAATTTCCTTTTTTTCTAGCTATAGTCCCAAAATTTTGAAAAAATATTACATCAGTACTACGCACGTAGAGGAACGTGCGTACCCAATGAAATCACGCCACGATATCCCGCGCGACGCAGAAAAAAAACGGCGCAGTAACACGGGGAATATTCCTCCCCGTGTTATTCATGTGTTATTGTGTGTTATTCATGTGTTATTGTATCCTGAGAATATTATTATAACACCAGGAATATTCCCAGGATACAATAACACATGAATAACACACAATAACACATGAATAACACGGGGAGGAATATTCCCCGTGTTACTGCGCCGTTTTTTTTGCTCTACCGTGCGAGATATCGTGGCGTGTTTTGATTGGCTACGCACGTTATTTTTACGTGCGTAGTACTGATGTAATATTTCTTCCAAAATTTTTGTTCAATTCCTAATTTTTTTAATAATTCTTATAATTTTGCACATTTAATTGCTGTAGACTTTTTGCACTTACTGGATTCAAACTTGCATCTTTAAGGTGCAAAATTTTCCTATACATATATATATATATATATTAAAGGAATTGTCATTGGCCTATTATACGAGTCTCCAGTCACTCATAATGTGCCCAACAATTCGAGTACCACCTCCATAAGGTCAATTGTGCTAGAGGGGATTTGAACCCCCGACTTGAAGGGTCTTATGCCATGAATGCCAACTAACAGATCGAGGTACACGACACAGAAAATAATATGTTATTACAAGTTTATATATTGCATCTTGATGCATTTATTTATCAAGAAGTCATGGTGTAATTTATTTTCCTGATTGAAGTATGACACAAGCAATATGCATCACAAATTGTTATAGCTAAATTATGCGGCAAATGTGTGGCTTGCCGATTAACAATAATATCTATTTTGCATGGGAACATAATCTGATATGCTTGCTTTGTCTGGTTGGAATACTGAATGCATTAATTGATTCTTTCAACCGTTTTGACGTTGAAAGCATTAATTGTAGGGTGCAAAATGCAAATGAGGTTCTTGAATGAGGTCGTTTGGTTTTTTTTTAGGAAGATTTACTTGCATGCCACTCGATTCTTATGTATTTACATATTTAATATCAAATTTAAATTAAATTAAAATTGAATAATAAATGACTGATGAGTCATATATTGATAATTGTTTTAGATTGAGCATACTCATTTCAATTTATATCTTGCATACAACTTTTTCTATTTTGGAAATGAGTTCACATCCTTTCATCACGCCTAGGGGTGTAAATGAGCCGAACACGAATGAGCTCTGGCTCATCTAGTATTTGACTCATTAAAAAATATCACTATTTGTGTTTGGCTTGTTTATATTTCGAACACAAATAATGTGTTTGTGTTCGGCTCGTTTGCTTAGCGAGCCCAATGCAAGCTGTTTGCGAAAAAAAGTCACTTTGACGACCCTAATCAAGCAGCAGTAGGATGTGAAGGGTTAGGGCAAGATTTAAATCATATTCATCAATGAGGACTATCGGGATATACGTCGCTCATTTATAGAAGGCAAGTTGGCTATGAAGCTACCGGTCACTTTTATGAGAAATGTCATGGAGACTTATATCGCTTACTAAACGGTGTTGACTAGATCGAGAAGGAGTGTCGTAAAGTTTGCTTCTGAGGACTAGTCCACATTGATTAGTTAGGAAGGAGATTCAAGGGACTCTGATCCCTCCTGAGAACAGATCAAGGTGCGTACCTCAACACTCGCGCTTCATCAACGAGGACTGCCGTATGGACTTTACGCCGCTCATGAGAGGAAGGAATGTTGGCTAGAAAGCCTCCTGTCACTTTAATGAGGAATGTCATGGGACCTCACATCGCTCACTAAGTAGTAATAGGTTGACCAGATCGAGAAGAGAATGCGAGCAAACTTCAGTTCTCCTCTAAGGACTGGTCCACATTGATCAATTAGGAAGGAGAGCCACGAGACTCAGATCCCTCCTGCGAACTAATCGAGGTGCGTACCTCAACACCCGCACTTCATAAATAAAGGCTGCGTCGAGCCTTTCGTTGCTCATGAGAGTAAGGAAAGTTGGCTTCACATCGCTCACTCAACGGTAGGCAACGATATTACGTGACAGAAAGGAACCCAACACCAAACTTGCCCTTTTGAATTTCAATTGCTAATGCTTCCAGTACGTGAGTGAATTCAAAGAGCATTTCATATTCTCCTTCAAGTCATGGATGATTGAAAACATAATCTTGGTTTATAAGGATTAATAATGAACCATATTTGGATCTATTCAATACATTTATAACATTTCAGAATGTGGAAAGAGTAGTATCAAAATATCATTTCCACCTTCAGATGCAATCACAAGCAGAGAAATGGTTGATGTTATTAATCTAATTATGCCCTTTTCATCCCTATAAGTAGAGAAACCGCCTTATTAATCCATATCCTTAAAAATTTCATTTAGCTTAAGAATCTCTATACTAGTTTATAAATACCTACCCATACATTAAAAATGTCCTCAAAGAGTAGGTGACCTCTTTAATAAACTTGACATTCATGAATGTCTCCGCCTTACAACCATAGTTAATGAAGACTCTTTCGTTATGATAATCTTATTAATTATTTGGCACACACATTAATTAAAATACAACAAATAATCAATTTTATGGGCTACCATAAGACATTTAATGCACACAAAAAACATCATGCAATAACTTTATGTGTTTCTACGTGCAATAAAATAATGTTAATATATGTATATTTATTTATTTATTTATGATATTCTTGAACTCAAATAAGCTCATAAATAGTTGGGAAAGTTCCCAAGATGTCACAACTATCATTATTTAGAGTTTCCTATACTTAGCATTATTTTAATCAAGTGATCTCATTTAAGTTATAATTGCATATAAGGTAAATCATTAAAACCTTTTTTAAGTCATCATGATGATAAGAGATAAGTTTGGGTGATAAGAAAATCTTCATAAATATTAGTGTAAATCAAGAACATTTTTGAAGGGAAGAAGGAGAGTAGATTATTGAGATACTCTACTACAAGTAGTTTTTGTCTCCTTAAACATTTTATCTATTAGATTCCCTAGGTTGTGATTCTTTTATTTAAACTAAAGAAGCCACGGTCAAGGCTTGGAAAGTTTGCTTCTAGTAGGTTTTTTTGTAGTGAAACTAGTAACTTAATGGATGAATGACATTCAATTAAACTAATCTAAAATGTTCATAACTCACTATATTATAATTTATCCTTTTATCTCCTCATTGAAAAGTCCATATGTTATACATTTTTCATCTTTATCTTAACAATGTGCTCAACATGTTGACTTTCTAAAGTCATTAAGAAAATTAGCTTACATCATTCACACCTTTTATTTATGATTATGGTAAGAGTATCACCCTTTAGCATTTAAACGTTGGATGAAACCCCTATCTATGGTAGTCTTCATTTAAAACAAAACGCTTAAACCTTGTTGCATATATATATATATATATATA